CTTTCAAGATTTAAACTCACGACCTTGAACCACTGTTGTTTTTTTAAAGTATGAATTAAACTGCACAAGCCCCCACCCCCTCAATTAAAATGCAAAATTCCCCCAAGGGGTGAAAAAGAAGCTTTTGTCAATCGCTGATACTTGAGTGTAAATCATTGCTAAAATGAATCCAGAAAGCCTAGCTGGAGAAAAGCAAAGAGAATGGGACACAGCATAGGTTAGCAAAATGATGGAAGTGACAGACAGCAGGAATGGGAGAACCATGGAAAATCTAGAATCCCCAGAAAGACATCAAGAACTTTGTGGAGAAGGAGGAACAGTAAAAGACAGTGGGACAAACAGAAAAAAGGAAACAAGAAGATACATCTGTGTAGTTTCAGCTGTTTTAACGTTTCACCTATGGCTGGCTTTTACGATTACTGAATGCTTGTTACTCTACCTACAAAATATATACAGAAATATTCCCTTTGCCTTCACTGCTATCACCTCCCAGAGCCACCATCACTTGCCTAGATTGTTGTAATAGCCTCTGAAGGTCTCCTTACTTCCCCTCTCACCTCTCAGAGTCTGTTCTTAACACAGCAGCCAGATAGATAAGACTGTCAGTTATCTACTCAAAACCCCCCAATTGCTTCCTGTCTTACTCAAATTAAAAATCAAAGACTTAGAAGTGGCCTGCAAGACCTCACAGCCTACAATAGCTCGCACTTACAACTCCCTCTGACACCCTCAGCTTCCCCTCACTCACTGGACTCTGGCCACGCAGGCTCCCCTGTTCTTTGTACCTGCCAAACACTCTGGCCTCGGGGATTTTTCCTAACTATACTCTCTATGAACAACACCTCCTTGGATGTCGCCTTCTGAAAGAAACTTATCTTGACAGTACAATATTAATTTGTGACACCATCCCTTACCCTGCTATACTTTTTCATCACCACATATGACCTCTAACACACAAGAAAATTTACTTATTTGAGGAGGGAGGTTATTGTTGATTGTTTCTGTTCCACCACAGAATATAAACTTTCTGTGAGCAGGGGTTTTGGCTGTTTTATTTGTTGCAATATATCCTTACAACTTTGAAAAGTGCCTTGCACATAATAAGCACCCAGTACATATTTATTAAGTGAATGAGTGATTTGTTGGAACCCACATTAACTGTTTTAGCTCCTGGAGGTATATTTCATATTGCTCATTTCCCAGATTACATATGCATGAGAAGAAATGGCAGAAGTTACTTAGAGACTGTTGCCACCAAGTTTCCAGTGTGATATATTTAGAAATGTTTTGATGCCTTAAAGGAACGAGAGTTTATAAATAAAATACCAGCTAGAAGTTCATGAAATATCAAAAAGCTCCCAACTAATTCCTTAAATATGCTGTTTCCAAATAACTTTAAGGCCAGCACAGGCACGCGCCGTCTTGGGTGAGTGGGCAAATGTATGGAACATCATAATAACTCACTAGGAAAAAATCTAAACTATTTCATAAATAAAGGCAAAATATATTGGAACCCAAATACAACTCCATGGATTAATTTTGTGATATTAAGACTTTCCCAATCTAGATGTTGATCCAAGAGTAGCCTAAGCAGCATCCAGGGAAATGTCCATCCTGTCTACTGCCATGATCATAATGATCATATTGTGAAATCATATTCTTAATTATATCTGAAATTAAAATACATCAGCTATATCAAACTAATGCAAATAGATTCAGAACCTTAATGTTCAATCTATGAAAAAGAAATATTAAACATAATTTGTACCTGAATTTATCTCAGCGTGCTCTACTGTTCCATTTTATTTTAATATCAAAGGCCAGCAGGGCCCAGACTTTGAACTAATGTCCTTCAAATATTCATGTTTTAATGTGATGGCCATTTGTATTCCAGGACCTCTATCCTTTCAGGATCTGGTACTAAGGGAAGCTGATCTATATCTGAAGCTCTTTGATTTCAAAGATAGCCCTATGTTCATATTAGCACCACAGTGGAAGGAACAAGACAAGAAACAATCTGTAAAGTCTGTAAAGGCATATAAGTTCTTTGATATCCCAAAGCTTTTGTCTGTTTTCTCCTATCAATCTATAAAATAATCTTAACAATTTAATAAAAACTAGTCAAACATCAAAAGAAACTGGAATAAAATTTATCTATTCCATAATCTACTTTAATGAACTTTTGTACTCAAGTTACAATTTCTGCAAATAATAGTTTGCAATAAAAAAATGTGCACACTGATTTTTACCTGGGGAGATAATAGCAAGAAGCAAGGAAGAAATAAATGAACAATAGCATGTCTCAGAGGGTGACTAATTTTGCAGAAGTTATCATAAGTTTTATCTATTACAAGAAACATTTTCCTGTTTAAAGCAACAAGTAAAAATAGATAAATTATTATTTCTTCATATTTTCATATTTTAATTTACATCAAATTTATCATGCATTTCTATAAGCTTAATTTTTAACTTGGAAATAAAAAAAGTAAAACAAAATATAGGGCAAATGCTTTAATACTGGGAGCAGTAAGTGAGCTGTGGAAAAACAAGTCTAACAAACTTGATTTTAGGACAAAAAAGGCCTTGACTTCATCAAAAGTCCCTCTGGGCTGATCCTCCTCCAACTCTCTCCAAAATCAGGACAGAACATGAACAAAGCAAAGTGAACCACAAACAGAAACACTTAGAAGAAGCCTCTAGAGTACAATCACTTTTCATAAAGGTAATGAATGATTTAAGTAAATGGTAATGTGGTTTAAGAAACAATTGTTAATAAATTCAGGGAATGGTAATGTTCAGATCACCAGGTTTTTTTAATGCACCACAAATGAATCCCATAATCACACATATGTTAAAATGATAATCACTAGGTCACTTCATCTCAAATAAATATGATTTTCAAATTCAGAATTGTAAAAACAGTTAGATATTCTCTATCCCATTTTCTTTGAAAGTTTAAAATACAAGGATTTAATAATCTCTAAATATACATTTTTAAATGACCCAAATATTATATAAATTGATCATTCTTATCATTATTCCATAATAATAATGATTTCCTTCATGATAATTGTTAAATAAGGCTAAAATAATAATTAATACAAGTTTTCATTTTGTAGCAATAAAGCATAGTAGTAAAGAAAATGGCTTCAAGAATCACTAGACTTAAATCAATTACATCAGCCCACCACCACAAGATATGTGACCTGGCCAAGCTATTCACTGAGCTTCAGTTTCCTGATGTATAAAATGGAAAAAATAATATTACCAACCTCATATGGTCATAAAAATTAACTGACATAGTCCCTTTTAATTAATTTTTAACAATTTTGTATAACTACTAGGATATTTCTTGATTCACAGAAAGCATTTGCTATCTGTTACTGTAATCATGATTACTATTATCATCACTATTTGATGGTAGGCCAATCTTATGTCTCCACCTATATTCCCCTGTAATCATCTTCTATGTATGTGGGCAAGTTACTTAACATTTCTAAAGTATCAACTCCTTTTCTCTTCATTAAACGAAATGCTAAATATTTCCACAGGCCTGATATTTATAGTAACTATATCTTATAATAATATTTTTATTATATCAAATTCAGCACACGATTATATGTAATCTGTATTATACTATGTTAATATTTCCTTATACTTGTTTTCTAGCTTTATTGTAGATTTAATAATTCTATATAGCTTCTCCATATTATGTATATGTCTTTTTTTAATGAATAAAAATTTTTAAGACAGAAAATTCTCTTACGTTCCTTATACACACACACACATGGGAGCACATTTATACACATGGTGTTAAATACATGCATTTTAAGTTGAATTATATTGGAACATCATTAACAAGAGCATGTGGGTTGATTTACCTTTCCCATCTTAAGTTTATCATTCAAACAGAGTTGAACACAATCTCTATGGAACTTAGAAGCTCTAAAACTGTGTTATTTCAATGCACCAAATTGAAAATCCCAATTCCCTCTTGATACAAGCACCTTCATAATTTTATTGTATTTATATAACAGTGACCAAATTCTGGGTGTATAATATCCACATTTTAAATTATCTGAAAATAGTTGGGAAGCAGGCATGCTCTAGAGCAGAGTTGCCTTCCTCCAGAAGAAATGAACTCTATGGGTCACCCCTTCAAATATTTCCCTTCTCATACTAAAATAAACACCAGTTTCTGCTCAGTGGGGTGCTTCAGAGCATTTAAAAGCCAATATTTCTCCTTTCTTAATTCTATTTTCTTATACACAGCCTATCTATTCTTTCTGTGTTTCATATAATTACTTTATTTTTAGTGTTTATTATAAATCAAATCACTTTCATATATAAAGGAAATTTCTATTCCCTTTTGCCCTACATGTATATAGCTAAATCCATATTGATTTAGCTTGAGGTGTGAAGAGCAATAAAGAAATCAGTCTGGTAGAAGGGGGAAAAATTAATAATGAATGATGACAGATAATAAGTGAATGATGGCAAAGGAAACAGAAAGTTTTAAAATTGGCTTGGCAAGAATACGGGCCTCGATCTAAGATAATATTCCATTTTACACTAACCCTGCCTGCTATTCTATCAGTATAGGATATTTTGATGGATAATTGAGTCCATATTATCAAATAATTAGAAATGTATCATATTCCCAAATCTCAACTAGCTGCTTTAAATTCTATCTTTGGAATCAATGATATAACTCATATTATGCCTGAAGCTATAACTATAAGAAGTTATAATAGGAGGGTTTGCAAAATCAAAGAGTTTCACAGAAACATGCACAATTTTAGACAGACTATGATTCATCTCCACATTCAGATATACCAAATCCTAGCAAGCCCCACCCCCACCCTTGCACTTTCTCTACTTCCCTGTAGGAACAAAATGTCATAATTACTGATTTTCCCCCCTGAAAAAAAAAAAAAAAAAGAAAAACTTCTTCCATATTTCAAAATAAGCATGCACCATGCAACGTGCAAAAAAAATACCTTGGGTTTCTTATTTTCAGGGTCTGTTGACATGGAAAATGCACAAGGTGAAATCGGCTCCTTGTTTCTTGTTAGAGAGGTGGGAGGTGATGGGGTTGAAGCAGGTGCCCTATGGTCACATATTGAGCTTTCTGATTTCCCAAGTCTTGAAGGCAAGGTGCCAATGCCACAATTTGGGTGCAGTGCTGAAAGACTGGGCTGGAGCGCCTGGGTGGGAAGATTAGCATGAGGGAGAGGGGAGGACCCCAACTTGGGAAGAGAGGCAGATCTAGCACCGGGGACAGGCCGTGAAGGAGGCACGGAAGGATTCTGCCCTTGGCCGGAGAGCTGTGGTGCTGCTCGCTGGGATCTGTGTATCAGGTCGGAAAGGGTTGGGGAAGGATAGAAACTCTTCTCTGGAGAGGGGAGTGTGGCTCTTTGGTTAGTGGGAAATGCGGAAGGTAACGGAGAGGAGGCTGATGCAGAAGGATATGTGTAGATATCCCTGGGCTTTTCTGGACCCCTGAGGTCAGAACCCCTTTTGCTCTCCCAAGAAAAAGGAGAAAAGCTTCGTGGAGCAGGAGGAAGACCTACAGGACTCGTATTTGTTTGTAGCAGGGAGGGGGCTGGATTGCTCTTCAAAGAAGTGGATGATGGTGTTTTCTCTACCTTCAAAGAAGCAAGGCTGCTGCTTTCATGTTTTGTGGGAGAAAGGGGGAGCGCCTGAGAAAGGGGAGCAGACTGGGTGAAAAAAGGTAAGCGGAAGGATGGCTGGCTAAGTTCAGGACCCTGGTGTCCCCTTTGCTCGGGAGACCCAGCTCTCAGTGAGCAACTTGAGAGAGATTTTTTAGGCGTGGATGGGGTTTGCTTTATTTTTTGATCAAGTGTGAGTGTGGACGAAGCCAGGGAGTTGAGAGAGAAAGTGGGACAGGATGCGGGGGACAAGGGTCTCTGATGAGAAGGGTTTGACTTGAGGATGGCGGTGAGAAGAGAAAGCCGGGAGGGCACCGGGGATTTCAACCCTGATTTTGAGAGATTTCCACTAGATGACACTGGGCTACAGATCGTGGAAGAAGAGCCATGGAGAGAGGAGGTAAATGGTTTTGGACTTGGAGAGAGGGAGTGCATGACTATGCGGACGGGTATGTAGGAGGCTGAATTCGACTTCAGAGGAGCAGTGGAGGGTCGTGGAGATGTTCTCAGGCTTTCCCCGGGGCTAAGGCCATGCGAGGCTGCTGTCGTCTTCCTCAGCTCATCCAAGGCCAGTCCAGGTCCTCGACCTGCTTCGCTGGGACTGGATAAATTAGAACCTGGTAACGGAGTGGAATGGGGAAACTGTGACGTCGAGGAGGCGCCCTTCGGTGCAAAAAAGGGTGAAGAGTGAGCGGCAGTTTGAAAATACGTGGCTGTTTCTTCCACCAGGGCCCCACTGCCATCCAGCCGCCTAGTGTGCGACTCCTGCAGGACAGAGGCTCCCTCGAGGCCAACGGGCCCGGGTGGCGGTGGCTGATTAGTTGGAGAAGCAAAGGAGAAAGCAGGTGGTTTACAGGCAAGCTGCTCAGAGGTAGTGGAAGAAGAAGTTAACTGGAGGAAAGAGAAATAGACAGATTGTAACAGGACATTATTTGTGAAACTATCAAAATATTCTTGGCACTTGTGTGTTTATGCAACCAGTTCTATTAGTTTACATGAAAGAGGCACCTTACACCTCGGTAAAAATGGAAGAAATTCTGTTTTGCTAATGAGGCATTGTTTTGAATTTGAAATAAAATATAAATAAACTGTGAGGTATTGTATACCAGGATTATATATGTAGTCCCCAGAATGAGCGTCAATATTAAATTGTATTTGCATATTTCCATTTAGAAAATAATTCATTGACAAAAGCTAAAAGAGTTATCTTAATCTGGAACTGTGTGATTTGAAAAGATTTAAATCACCATCAATATAAATTTCAAAATTCACCTTGGGGGGAAAAATAGATTTCCTTCCATTGTAATAAATCATAATATAATAATAATGACTACAATCCTTAAAATTTTTTAACATATTCAAAGTTTGAAATTCTAAAAATTTGGACTACTCCTACATATTGTGAACCTAAAAAAATGCCCAGAATTCAAACATCAGCATACAATGATAAACAGTGAGAGAGTGAAAGCAAAGTCCAAAACAGAGAGGGAATTTTAGCTCACAAGCAATATTTCCCCTAATTTCTTGCCAGGATGAACACATAACAAAGGACTTGGTTATACTGAAAGGAATACGTATTCTTTCATATAAAGGAGTCCAGAGTACTTTACAAATGTAATATGCCTGATACAATGCAACCCATCAATTACACACAAAATAAAAAGAAAATAAAGAAATTATGTGTCCTTGTCAAGAAAGGTTAGGGATAGCCTGTGAAATAATGGGGTATATGTATTCCTGTGCTCCTTTAAAAATCACCAGTACTTGAAAACAAATACTGAAATTATAAGTGATTCTAAAGTCAAATCATTTAAACACAGGTTTTCTTTTAAAATGATTGATTTTATTCTATCAATTCATAAGAGAAAGGAAACTACTTGTGTCTGATAAAGAATTTAGGGAATTAATGAATGTTTATTAAGTGATATTATATGTATATATTTTTTGCATTACATAGCAGGAAAATGTATAACCATAATATTTAAACATAATAAAAGGTTGATTTATAAATTCAGTAAAAGATAGTTCTTGGTTTTGCTTAAGGTGTCCATCTTAAGGTGTCCATCAGCTCTAATGTAAAGACCTTCATATCATAGAGTTTTGAGTTCTAAAAATATTTAAAACTAATAAATTCAAACAACTCACCTCAAACTTTCAAGTTGCTGAGCAAACATACTCAAAATATTCATTTCTTTTTATATGTAAATTCACATGTGTAGTTGCCACACAGAATTCTTGCCCCAATAAATAATATTTGAGTATCCTGGCATAACCCAGAATATCTGAAAATGAGGGATAACTGAGAAAATGAAGCAGAATTCAATCAAATTGAGAAAGAAAACTCAAAAATGCCCTCATGTAAGTTTTACTTAGAAACAATTCTGCTTAGCTGTGGTTATGCAACTGTTTCATGTGGTTAGCCATAAATGAAAAGTCTCCTCTTATTCTTTCTAATGATGGTCTCTCTTCACAGAAGGAATGAAGACATTTCAAGACCCAGTAAGGTGGCTTTTCATATTATGCCACAGCTTTTGGTAAAGAATTTTATAAATTAATAATAGAGCCCAAAAATCTCATTATCTTTTCAGTCATGTTTCCAAATAACTTCAATTTATATGACAAATATTAATTTATCCTGATTATCCATCAAAGTATCATGATAAAATCATAGGGCTATAATTTTGAGGGTCTTGTTCAGAAGAAAATGCTATTCCCTCAAACTTCCTCAAGAGTATAGATTCTAATTACCAAATTTTCTACTGCATTAAGTCATATTTTATCTAATATAAGTAACTCAGAATTTTATTGTACTTTTTAATAGTTGATTTTGAAGAACTTCTAAGAGAAAAACTCTGAAAATCTATGAATGTTTATTGTCTAAATTAATCTACATATTTTATAATTTCCTATCCACCATATTAATAGCCATTTGTAATATACTTGTTTAATTTGCAAATACACCCGGATATTATTCTAGTTTATACCAATATAAAAATGTGGCACCAGAGTTCTAAAGAATGCATTTCTTAATGAAAAATATTTTTTGCCCCGAGTTCCTCTCATCAATAAGTTTTTAAAATGAGGAGCTAAGGTCATGAATGATTTTACGCAGAAAGAAAGAATGAATACCTGTAAAATGCTCAGTCAAGCAGCCCAGACTTGATGTTACCTCTTCCCTGTAAATCCCTTGCTTCTCTATGGATGTCTGTAAATTAGTTCCATCCCTTCATTCTCTCCCATTAATAACTCCTCGTGCTGTTTGTTACTGATGCTCTAATTCCTTCTCCCTCAAACCTGCTCTCCTTTTCCACTGTTAATTTCTAACCTGATCTTTGTTGATTCCTTTGTTTCTCAGAGCTGCCCGACTATGCACTCCAGCCTGAAGCCCCCCTCTGATTCCTTGAGCCCTTTACCACACACCTCCTCCAAAGTCATTCTTGAAACTCTCTTTTCCTAGAAAGACTATCCTGAACTCTGGAAAACATTCACAATAATCTCAGTAACAGAGGATGCTTGCAATGCTCTGCTGTCATCAGCTTTCTCTCCTGTTCTGAACAATAGATCTTCCAAAAAGTTAACACTCACTACAAATCCTTTTCCCACCATCCCCTCACTGTACTCAACAGACAACCTAGATTCCTTTTCTCCAAGGAAAGCTGAGATTACCAGGAAAATCCAATTTTTTGGATCTACCCTCATTTTCCTTTATTCTAGAAAAATTATGACTTTTCACTTTTTAAAAGGTAAATTTTCTCTGTGTACTCAGAGTCACAGAAGCTCCTGTTTTCTTAGGGGTCACATTTCATCAGTTATCTTTTTATGCTATGTATTCATCCTTTCTTTCTTTTTTTTCTTTTTTTTACTAGCTTTCTTAACCTAACATAAATATAAAGCGGAATTCTTCCAATCTTTAAAAACATAATAATATCATTTAAGGAATTGTAAGAATTTCCACCATTCTCTAGTCTTTTCATCGAAGAGGCAAAGTCCTTTTCTTCACCCCTTTGTCTCAACTGGCCATATAATTTGTTTTGGTCAGTGGAACATTAGCAAATGTGATAACAGAAGCAGGGGCTAGAAAAGCAGTGAGCTTACTAAGGCTTGCTGAGTGCAGAACATGGCCATAGTGGGAATGAGCCCAGCTAGCCTGCTGGGAAATGCAAGACTACATCTCAGCTAAAGAGCCACCAGGCAGCTAACCACATACCAACCAACCCAGCAGCCAATCGCAGACACATAAGTGAACAACAGCAAAGACCAGCTGAGCCTGACCCAGACCTGCAGAACCGCCTGGCTGAACCTGGCCAAACTGCTGACTGGCAGATTTCTGAGCTAAATAGAAGGGTGCTGTTTATAAATGCTAAATTTTGGCATGGTTTGTTAAGTAGCAAAAGCTAATCAGAAATGTGTGCACACATGTACACGAAGATCTTTGTGGATCCTGTCTTTCCCATAGTTACAGGCCCATGCTGTTTTCTTGGCAGTTATATCTGTACCATACAATCACTGTATTGATTTCCTTTTTGTGGCCAACACACCCAAAAGTGACTTCCCAGAATCCTGTTCTTATATAATCTCCTCCTCTTGAGTATAAATGGAAGCTGTGACTTGCTTCTAACTAATAGAACCTGGCAGAGATGAAGAAATTTTTCAGATGTAATTAAAGTCCCTCATCAGGTGACTTGAAGTTAATCAAACAGGAGATTATATCCTGTGTGGGTATTACCTAATCAAGTGAGTTCTTTAAAAGTGAATCAAAAGGTTAGAGATCAAAGTAACAGAGAAAATAAATAGAACAAACATGTTTTTTTTTAAACCACTAAATTTATGGAGATCTGTTATTCGGCAATGGAAAACTAATACACTTCCCACTGGCTTCTGAACAGTTCCCCACCCCCACTCTTCTACAGACACTGTTATCCATGTCTACAATGATTTATCATTTCCTAAACCCAACAGGCACTTAAATCCTTTATCTTTTCTGATTTCTCCCTGGAATCTGACACTTCCAATCTCTCCCTCCTTTTTAAAATTGCTTTATCTTTGGCCTCTATTTCATCACTAGGTACTTCTCTGTCCCTGTCTGTTTCTTATATGTTGGTACTTCTCGGCCCATTCTCAGAAATGCCTAGGCACTGCCTGTGGGCCCAGAAAACTTGCACTTAATCTTTTACACTTCAGCTCACACAATGTGAACCTTTCCTGAGGTTCGAGGCTGATTTAGGTGTCCTCCCCCTACATTTCCCTTTGCTCCCTGAACGTGTTACCTTTCATTGTCATTGTTTTCAGGTGCATTTGTTTTTCAAGTTCCTTGAAGGTAGGCACTGTGCCTTTTAAGTTTATTCCCCTAGTGTCTAGTGCATGGCATATTGCCTTCCTGCAGGAATGAAGAAGTAAAGTGTCCTGTAGATGTAGGAACAAAAGTACACAGAACAGGGACATAATGTCTCCTTAAAGAAGGCCTCATCACCTCCCTCTAACTCTGCTATAGACTCCAGGCAGTGAGAGTGGGTAGGAGGTGGAGAGAACAGTGACTCTGATGGCCAATTCAGTCTTACCTCACCAGAGAGGAAGAAAATTTAAGTTCTGACATCAAGTCAGGAGACCCTCCTTTTTAAAGGCCCCATCATCTTTCTGCAACTTGATTTCCCACAAATGTCCTTCCTCTGTCCCTTGAGCTGATGGTACAAATGATGTTCCAGCCAGAGGAAGCAACAGGCCACCAGGAAGGTGAGAGCCTGGGGCCTCCCACTGAGTCAGAAAAATTCTAAGTGTGTCCAGTCTCCCTCACCATAGATGGTGACAAAAACGTTAAGAGGACAGAATCATATCCTCACCCTAAACCAGAAGGGAAATGGGAAGGTGTCAGTGGGAAGATCACTAGAGAAAGG